TGTCCTGCTCTCTGACGCAAGATGAGGAGGAGAAGGGTGCCTTGTGGGCCCCCAGGAGGTGCTTGGCAAATATTTGCAAATGAATGAATGCACGGAATGCTCCTCTATCTCCAACCCAGCCGGGCCCCAGAAACCCAGAAACACAGACAGATCACAAAGGAGAAAGCCCTGGCTTTGAGCGTTTGAGAAGGGTTTCCGTTTGAAGTACTGGCTGAGAAAATTTCCTTCCTCCTCAGATCTCTCTGCAGCCTCCTGCAGGTCCCCTGGACTCCAGGTCTCCTAAGCAACTGATCCGATGGGCTTGGTTAGGGGAAGGGGCCCTGGGGCGGCCTGGCCCTACTGCTGCTTTATTTCCAAATGCCTGAAATTCTGGAACGGTTCCCAGGCGGCCAGGCCAGGGCCAGCTGCAGGCGGTCCCCTTTAAGCTGGCCGCTGGGAGGGCAGACTGCGGCACCCTCCTGAGAGTCAAGATCCAGGGTCCTGGTGCTGGAGCCCCGAGGCTGGCCTTGTGGGTGTGGCAGCCCGAGCTTGGCCCTCCCGGCCCTCCCCACAGAGAGCTGGCCCCCCTCTGTGTCACACGCTCAGGCCACTTCACAAGTCACAAGGCAGTTTTCCATTAGCGTCAAACACACGTAGATCTTGACCTGAAGCTGATGGGAGCAGAGGGGGAAGAACCCGGCTTCAGACAACTTGCATACCTGGGGGATCAGCAGGCTCAGACCCCCAAAGGGCACCATATCCCAGCAGCAGGGGTGGGAACGGCCCCGGGCACACCCCTCTCTCCCTCTGCCCATCTGTCTGTCTCACACGTTTGGATCTGGATGATACAAGACAAGGAGGCAGTGATGCAGCTGACTGCAGTGTCTCCTGTGTGTTCCCTCACCCCAGACATGTAGTGAGCCTCTACTGCGTTCCTAGCCCTTGTGAGCTCTGTGGGACCCCCCCTGGTATGAGGTGTAAAGGCCCCCCAAAGCAAGAAGGTTCTCCTGGGATGACATCATGAATTATCCTTGGGACTGTCAGCCACTGGGTGACTTCACCTTCCGAGACCAATTTCCTCTTCATCTGATAACAAATCCTCTCTGCTCTCCTTTAGGAAGACCTCCTTGCTGGCTCCTACTGAGCTTGGCAACTTTTGTTGTTTTTGCAGCCCCACTGTCCCCAAGATCATCACATGAGCTAGCTGAGGTCATATGACCCAAGGCCAGCCAGTGTAAGGACAGAGTTTCCCCACCCACATAAATCAGCTCAGTGACAGCCATGTGACCCAAGTGCAAAAATCAAAGTCCTGCCCAGAATGACCCTGATCCTCCAGGTTGGGAGTTCCAAGGAGCCCCTAAGACTAACACTCCTGGGCTATCTTTGCCTGACAGTGAAGCCAACATGAATGAAATCAGTCTGAATAAGATGATGCCCAGTGATAGCTTTTGAGCTCCTGGATCCAGCTGTGCCTGAAGGCCAATTCACCCTACACTTTCTAGTTAAGTCATTCAGCCAACTCTCTTCTTTTCTGAAATGAGCTTGGGTTGGGGTTCTACTGTGAGTGTTAGTCACTCAGTGGTGTCTGACTCTTTGCGACCCCATGGACTACAGCCCACCAGGTTCCTCTGTCCATGGGATTTTCCAGGCAAGAATACTGGAGTGGGTTGCCATTCCCTTCTCCAGGGGATATTCCTGACCCAGGGATCAAACCCAGGTCTCTTGCACTGCAGGCAGATTCTTTACTGTCTGGCCACTCAGGAAGTCTCTGGGGTTCTATTATCTGCAACTAAAAAGAATCCTGGGAGTTTTATAGTGGAGCAAATTAACAGGAAGGTACTGGTAAGAGTCCCTTGGACTGCAAGGAGATCCAACCAGTCCATCCTAAAGGAGATCAGTCCTGGGTGTTCATTGGAAGGACTGATGCTGAAGCTGAAACTCCAGTACTTTGGCCACCTCATGCGAAGAGTTGACTCATTGGAAAAGACCCTGATGCTGGGAGGGATTGGGGGCAAGAGGAGAAGGGGATGACAGAGGATGAGATGGCTGGATGGCATCACCGACTCGATGGGCATGATTTTGAGTCAACTCCGGGAGTTGGTGATGGACAGGGAGGCCTGGTGTGCTGCAATTCATGGGGTCGCAAAGAGTCGGTCACGACTGAGCAACTGAACTGAACTGAACTGACTAACTGGTAAGATAAAAGCTTCCTGAATGTTTAAAGTGGGAAGAGGGTCTCAGGTTTGGGAAGATACTCTTGTGGACCCATCTTGTCCCTGGGCTGCTCTCTCAAGTGCCCTCAGAGGCTGGGCTTTACTCACTGGGAGCCCCCTGCTGACCACTTGGCACTGGGGCAGCTGTGCTTCCAGTGAGTAGTCCTCCCCCATCACAGAGCTCTGCAGACAACGCTGTGCTATCGGCAGGGCTCAGACTGAGCCATCCGCGTTCCCCCACCCGCCCCCAGCACATCTTCCACCCCTCCCGGAGGGTCAGCCCTGCAGAGTCCAGGCATGTGCAGTGTGCAGCAGAGAAGCAGTCCTGCCGCAGTCAGAAGCCGGGCTCCGACAGCAGAGAGTGGAGCCGCCGGCTGCCTTGCCACCCTCCCCCCCATTTGGAGCCCATGCCCAGGAGACGGTGAAAGGACCTGAGCCCAGGGTGCTTCCACTGTGTCCACACGGCACCCAGGTTGACCGCATTGCAGGATAGCACCTGAGAGGCACACCTCCAGCCCTTCGTCACCTTATGGTTTAGGGGAGGCAGACCTAAGCCCAGACCTGGGAGGGCAGATTACAAAAATGCCCTGAAAAGAAAGATCTGGCTTCATGGCCAGACAGAGGGGAGTCTGAATGCGGAGAGAGTGCCGACAAGAGACTGAGGGGAAATTTAGATCATAGTGTGGTAATGAGCACTGTGTTGGCTGCTTAGTCATGTCTGACTCTTTGTGACCCCATGGACCATAGCCTGCCAGGCTCTTCTGTCCATGGAATTCTCCAGGCAAGAATACTGGAGTGGGTAGCCGTTCATTTCTCCAGAGGATCTTCTCAACTCAGGGACTGAACCTGCATCTCCTGCATTGCAGGCTGATTCTTTACCATCTGAGATACCATGGAAGCCCTAAGAGGGGAGTGAAAAAGCTGGCTTAAAACTCAACATTCAGAAAACTAGGATCATGGAATCTGGTCCCATCACTTCATGGCACGTAAAAGGGGAGAAAGTGGAAACAGAGACAGATTTTATTTTCTTGGGCTCCAAAATCACTGCGGATGGTGACTATAGCCCGTGAAATTAGAGGATGCTTATTCCTTGAAAGGAAAGCTGTGACAAACCTAGACAGTGTATTAAAAAGCACGGCCACCACTTTGCCAACAGGATCTGTATAATCAAAGCTGTAGTTTTTCCAGTAGTCATGTATGGATGTGAGAGTTAGACCATAAAAGAAGGCTGAGCATTGAACTGATGCTTTCGAACTGTTGCACTGGAGAAGACCTTTGAGGGACCCTTGGACTGCAAGGAAATCAAACCAATCAATCCTAAAGGAAATCGACCCTGAATATTCACTGAAAAGACTGATGCTGATGTTGAAGCTGAAGTTCCAATATTTTGGCCCCCTGATACGAAGAACTGACTCATTGGAAAAGACCCTAATGCTAGGAAAGATTGAGGGCAGGGAGGAGTAGGGGGTGACAGTGGATGAGATGGTTGGATGGCACCATCGACTCAATGGACATGAGTTTGAGCAAACTCTGGGAGATAGTGAAGGATAGGGGAGCCTGCGAAGAGTTGGACACGACTTAGCGGCTGAACAACAACAAATGGGTTCTGTCCCCTGAGTTGTCCTTTGAAGCCAGACCATGTGGGTGATGTCAAGGCTCTGAACTTTTCTGGAACTCTGCAGGACTCCTCAGGGAGCCCTCCGAAACCTGGAAAAGGCAACATGGTCCGACTTACAAAAAAGAGAGAGCGGCAAGAAGCTCCATCCCAGAGAACACACCACCAACAGAGCAGAGCCTGGGGCAGCCCCGGGCAGGGCAGGGTCTGAACAGGGAAGATAAGGCCTCAGCAAGGCTGGGCCCCAAGGCCTGAGCAGCCTGGAGGGCCTGCCAGCGCCTGCTCCACACCCAGGGTCCCTTCACAGTCTGCTTCCGCCCAGCCCTGCTGTTTTCTAAAGAATATTTGCAAAGAACTGAAAAGGACAATCATCCAAGAAGTCAATACTGAAACTAATGATGGCATGAAAATCATGATTTCAAGCCATGGAAGCCTAGTCCCGAGAATTCCCACCAAGGTGGGGATGGCCTGTGAGCCCCTTAGGTGGAGGGGCCTGTGAGTCCTCAGGTGACATCCTCAGGTTTATGAGCTTGGCCGTGTGCCTCTGGGGACAGTTGAATGGACCACAAGTGAGCAAACCCCATCTGCTCACAAAAACCGGCACAGGTGCCCCGCAGGGCCCGCCTGCTGGCTTGGGGCATGACCCACCAGCCCAGCTGATGGGAATGGGGCTGCTGGGTGCCTGCACGAGCTCTCCCCCGCCCCGTCTCTCCACTTCTCCATCAATGCCCATTAGAGGGGCAGCCGTCACCATCCTGACTGTGTGACTCCCATGGACAGCTGGCCACACACCAGGTAATAGCACACGCTCGCAGGCCAGGGGCCTGGTGACCCAAGACAGCGTATCAGCAGTGCTCATAAAGATCTCAGGCCATGCTCCCATGGAGGTGTTGGTAAGAGTCTGGCTTTGAACTTGCGGGGCCAGGTAGGGTGTCAAGGCTCTGAGAGACACCCAGACAGACTAGGGATGTGCCTGGGGTCTGTGAGGAGCCCGGGGCTTGCAGGATGGGTCTGAGCCTGACGGGCGCTGAGCACACTTCTGCCCTTTCTGTGGTTTCCAGGCTGGCCCCCCTGTCAAATTCTTTAAGTCGTTTCTGCAGTGTTTATGGAAATATAATTTTGCCTGGAAGAAACATGTGTAATTGAGAATCTTTTAATGTCTGTTTATAGCTGCCATTCTTGCTTGAGTGATTATGAGCATCGTGGGAGTTGATTGCAGCTGGGTGGTCTCCATCGGTGCAGGGCTCCAGGCGCCTGCTTCCGCTGTTTGCACACCGCTTCATCTGGGATCATCCTCTGGGTCCAGAACAGAAAGTGACCTCAGAGATGAGTCCATCTCTACAGTGTCCTGGGGCTGCTGCAGCCAAGGGCCACCCACTGTGCAGCTCAAACAACTGGATCTCCTCTTCCTCAGTCTGGAGGCCAGAAGTCTGAGGTCAAAGGGTGGGCAGGGCTGTGGTCCTTCTGAGAGCTCTGGAGGAAGGTCCTTCCTTGTTCCTTCCAGTGTCCAGCGGAGACCAGCAGTCCTTGGCCTCCAGTGGTTTGTGAGCATCAGCTCATCTCTGCCTCCGTCATCACGTGGCTTCCTCCTGGGCACCTATGTCCACTTCTTCTAAGCACACTCATCATTGGACTGCAGGCCCACCCAAATCCATCATGACCTCATCTTCAGTTGATTTTACCTGCAACCTGTTTCCAAGTAAGACCACGTTGTGATATTCGGGGTGGACATGAAAGATCGAGGAATCCTATTCAACACTCTACACCATCCTACAATCCCACATCAGGATGAGGAATCCGATTTACACTGTGAGATTTATCAGACTAGTTAGTTTCAGAGCTTGGACCATAACTCAGTGTCCACATTCTCACCTAATATTCCTTCCAGCATTTCAATAAACACTGACTGCTAGGAAGTCCATGTGAATTCCACCAGGTCTTCAACACCATCGCCCACTGCCTGCAAGAAGTACGGCAGACCCTGCTTTTACCTTGCTGATTACAGCCCAGGCCGTCCTGCTTGTCCAGGATGAAAGGAGCAGTTTCCAGATACACTGCTAATCAGATCAAGCAGAGTGTTGTGTTGTTCAGTTGCTGAGTTGTGTCTGACTCTTTGAGACCCCGTGGACTGAAGCATACCAGGCTTCCCTGTCCTTCCCCATCTCCCAGAGCTTGTGCAAACTCATGCCCATTGAGTCGGTGATGCAATCTAACCATCTTGTCCTCTGTTGTCCCCTTCTCCTCCTGCCTTCAATCTTTCCCAGCATCAGGGTCTTTTCCAATGAGTTAGCTCTTCGCATCAGGTGGCCGAAGTATTGGAGCTTCAGCTTCAGCATCAGTACTTCCAGTGAGTATTCAGCGTTGCTTTTTTTAGGATTGACTGGTTTGACCTCCTTACAATCCCAGGGACGCTCAAGAGTCTTCTCCAGCACTGCACGTTCATTTATATTCACAAAAAAGAAAAGCTCTGGAAGGATAAATCAGAAACTGATAAAGGCACCTGAGTGGCAAGCGGTGGAGGGAAGCCTCTCTCGATACACTTTGCTAGAGTTTGTATTAGGAAAACCAGCCAATCCTTCTCCTGTGTGCTGCCTTTACTAACACACAATGCAGCACCTCTGACACTTCTGACATTAAATGTGTTTCCACCACCACCCCCCGCTCCCCACCAAGCACTTCTGTAACCCCAGCTGATGTCCCACAGTTGGACTCAATTCTAACACTGCCTACCTGGAGATGGCATCAGATCCTATAGGCTAAGGACTCAGACCCACAAGACTGAACCCCTCATCCCACACACAGATGCCAATGGCAAGGAGTTGATCCCCCAAGTGACCCACAACTCTTGTCCAACTTGGCTGCAAATCAGAGGTTCCCTCTCCTTAGGACCAGGGAATTTGTTAGAGTGGCTCACGGACCTCAGGGAAACACATTTGCCAGTTTATCACATAATAAAGGGTAGGATAAAGGATACAGAGACATTACTTTGCCAACAAAGGTCCATCTAGTCAAAGCTATGATTTCTCCTGTAGTCGTGTATGGATGTGAGAGTTGGACCATAAAGAAAGCTGAGTGCTGAAGAATTGATGCTTCTGAACAGTGGTGTTGGAGAAGACTCTTGAGAGTTCCATGGACTGCAAGGAAATCAAACCAGTTCATCCCAAAGGAAATCAGTCCTGAATATTCATTGGAAGGACTTATGCTGAAACTGAAATTCCAATCCTTTGGCCACCTGATGTGAAGAACTGACTCATTGGAAAAGACTGATGTGGGAAAGATTGAAGGCAGGAGAAAGGGATAACAGAGGATAAGATGGCTGGCATCACTGACTCGATGGACACGAGTTTGAGCAAGCTCTGGGAGTTGGTAAAAGAAAGGGAAGCCTGGTATGCTCCAGTCAACGGGGTCACAAAGAGTCGGACGCAACTGAGCAACTGAACTGAACTAGAGGATACAGATGAACAGTCAGATGGAGAGACACAGGGCAAGGTGTGGAGGGATCCTGAGTGTAGCAGCGTCCATCCCTGTGGAGCTGGGTAGCATCACACTCCCAGTATGTCGACTCGTGTCCCAACCTGCAAGTTCTCTGGGAACTTTGAGATTTTACGGAGGCTCCCTCACGTCGGCTGACCAATTACTAATCCTGTCTCCAGCCCCTCTCCCTTCTCTGCAGAAGTTGGGGTGGAGGGTTGGCTGTTCCAAGCTTCTAACCATGGCTTGTTATTCGTGGGGACCACTCCAGAGCCAACTCATAGTCTTCTCACTGGACAAAAGTTGTTCCTATCACCCAGGAAACAACACAGATTTCAGGGCTTCAGGGGCTCAGTGCCAGGAACTGGGGACAGAGACCTAGATATAATTTACTATTATCTCACAGTGTTTAACTTCCAAACTATGAAGATAATTTCCATATTCAAAACATTAACTTGAATTGAGAAAGTATCCTTATAAGAAGAAACCAACAAAATGTAAACTTATATAAAGTTTATAACGTAACTAAAGAGTCATTTCAAAGGATTTCATAGTATTTTGATTATTTGCTTTCAATAGGATGTATTTTAAGGACAAAAAGAGCAACAAAGGAATCCTTAATATCATTTAATAAGTCTTACTGCAAGTATTATGCCTGGCATTGTTATTTGAAAGCTTGTTTGTATTTTCTAGGATAAAGCCAATATGTAATTACCTGGATGCTGCGAGGAAGGAAAGTTATTAGTGTGAGAGGAAAATGTACAAATAAACAGTCACTCAGGTTAAGTATAACACTTGAGCTTTGAATTTGAATTGAAAGTGTTAATGTAATCTCATGGTGTATTATTATTGTTATTATTATTATTATTATGTTTACTTAAAAACCAAGACTAGGTCACCCATTTCTCCCACCCACCTTCCCTCTACTTCTGGCAACCACCATTCTATTCTTTGTATCTATGAGCTTGGTTTTCTTTTTCAAGTTTCATATATGAGAGAGAATATACCATATTTGTGGTTCTCTGTTGGACTCATTTTACTCCATATAATGTCCTAGAGCTCCATTCATGTTGTGGCAAATGTCAGGATTTTTTTCCTCTTTATGGTCGAATAATATCCCTTGTATGCCCACCACATGTTCTTTACCCACCACCCATCAGAGGACACTTGGGTTGGTTCCATATCTTGTCTATTATAAATAATGCTTCTGTGAACATGGGAGTGCAGGTATCTCTTCAAGTTAGTGTTTTTGTTTTCTTCACAAAAACACCCACAAGTGCGATTGCAATATGGTAGTTTTATTTTAATTTTTAAGGAACCTTCATACTGTTCTCCACAGTGGCTGTACCAATTTACATCCCTACCAACAGGGACATAGAGTTCCTTCTTTCCACGTTCTTACCAACACTTATTTCTTGCTATTTTGATAATAGCCATTCTGACAGCTGGGCTTCCCCCATAGCTCAGCTGGTAAAAAAAAATCTGCCTGCAATGTGGGAGACCCTGGTTTGAGTCTTGGGTCAGGAAGATCTGCTGGAGAAGTGATAGGCTACCCACTCCAGTATTCTTGGGCTTCCCCTGTGGCTCAGCTGGTAAAGAATCTGCCTACAATGTGGGAGACGTGGGTTCAATCCCTGGGTTGGGAAGATCCTCTGGAGAAGGGAACAGCTACCCTCTCTAGTAGCTCTAGTACTCTGGCCTGGAGAATTCCATGGACTCTACAGTCCATGGGGTCCAAAGAATCAGAAACAACTGAGCAACTTTCACTTTCACTTTCATTTTGACAGGTGTAAGATAATATTGTGGTTTTGATTGCCTTTCCCTGATGATGAATGATGTCAAGCATCTTTTCATACCTTTTCAAACTTTTTAGAATTGTTTATTCTATTTCTGGGGGAAATGCTATTGGAATTTTTATAGGGATTACATTTAATCTATATATTGCTTTTCATAGTATGAACATTTTAACAATGCTAATTCTTCCAATCCATGAGCATGAACACCTTTCCATTTATTTATATCTTCTTAAATTTCTTCCATTAATGTCTTGTAGTTTTCAATATATAGATCTTTCACCTCCTTGCCTAAATTTATTCCTAGATATTTTACTCTTTTTGATACAGTTATAAATGAGATTATTTTTTAAATTTCTCTGACAGTTTTATTATTAGTGTATAGAAATGCAACAGATTTTTCAATATTGATTTTGCATTCTGCAATTTTACTGAATACATTTTATTAGTTCTAACAGTTTTTTAATGGAGGCTTTAGAGTTTTCTACATTTAAAATCATGTCTTCTACAAATTGTAACACTTTTACTTCTTACTTTCCAATTTGTATATCTTTTATTTTGTTTTCTTGCCCAGTTGTTCTGGCTAGTACATCTAATACTATGAAAGTGGTGAGAGTGAGCATCCTTGTTTTGTTCCTGATGTGAGAGGAAAAGGTTTCAGCTTTACATTGTTGAGTATAATTTTAGCACTGGGCTTGTCATATGTGTCATTTATTATGTTGAGATATGTTTCCTCTATACCTACTTTGTTGAGAGTTTTTATCATAAATGTATAAAATGAATTTTGTCAAATGCTTTTTCTGCCTCTAAGATGATTACATGATTTTTTATCCTTCATTTTGTTAAGGTGGTGTATTACACTGACTGATAAAGATGTTGAGTCAGTCTTGCATCCTGGAATAGTTCTCTTTATTTTGCAATATTTATCTTTTAAAATTTTTTTTTAATGTATTTTGTATTAATGCTAATGCTATGTCCCTTCAGTCGTGTCCAACCCTGTGCGACCCCATAGACGGCAGCCCACAGGCTCCTCTGTCCCTGGGATTCTCCAGGCAAGAATACTGGAGTGGGTTGCCATTTCCTTCTCCAATGCATGAAAGTGAAAAGTGAAAGTGAAGTCGCTCAGTCATGTCCAACTCTTCGCAACCCCATGGACTGTAGCCCACCAGGCTCCTCCGTCCTTGGGATTTTCCAGGCAAGGGTACTAGAGTGGGTTACCATTTCCTTCTCCAATTTTGTATTAGGGTATAGCCAATTAACAATGTTATGATAGTTTCAGGGTGACAGCAAAGGGACTCAGTCATACACACACATGTATCCATTCTCTTCCAAAGTCCTGTTCATCCAGGCTG